TTTCCTTCGCTTTCGAATCTGTATATTTTCCTTCATCGCCGTCACTTATCGACATTAACTAATCATTTAATTAAAGTCTATATATTTTATAATTGTAGTATTGACTTGCCGATAAATAATGAAGAAAATGAGTTGCATTTTCGTGCTGTCGATTTACATTTTAATTACACAGTGGCACGAAAATGTTAACCAGAATATTCATATTGAACATAGTGAATGTGCGATGTCTCAAACAACTTGGCAGACGTTCGCGCCAATATATCAACGTCATCGTTTCAAGTTAATTGACCGACGTTGTACAGCTTGCACCTTTCGTGTTTTCACATAATAAACTTCGCGCGACTGCAATGAATTCCAACATCTGTGTCTACGTGAATTTTAACAATGAATACGCGATGCTATTAGATTCCGAAAAATTTTTCCAAGAAATATAAGATGTCTGCAGGATGTTAGTAACAAAATTAAAATTACAGAAAATTACAAAAATCTCAGACACAAAAATAAAGGTAATTTGATTATATCACGTACTTCCAATTATCATATAAATATTATTTAAATGATAAGTATTTTTCTAATCTCTAATTGCTCTATCAGATTATATTACATAGAGAGAGATTGAAAGAGAAAACTAATATCAAGTTTAATAAACTTTGCTTTAAATTAAATCAATTTTAATCTCTAATATGATACGAACAAGAAGAGAAATAATTACAAATAATAAATAGACTGATAAAGTCTCTTAATACTAACAAAAATGATTGCAATTACTATAATTTAACTATGATTTATAGTCATTTTCGGTGTCAGCATATATTTTTTAGTAGAACCATAAATATAATAATTATTAATAACATTATAGCAGCAATAAAACGGAGTTCCTCACCATAATTATTTTACCATACAATGTAAGTCACAAATATACCAAACACTTTTTTCTTTATATACGAGATAATATTTTATATAAAAAACTAATTGCAGAAAATGTGTTAATAATTTATCAATTTACTATTCGTATAAGCATGCAGCAGTGATAATACCGGCTCCGAATGTACAAAAAAATTTCAATTACGCGCCGCATGATGCGATATAAGAGGATAGTCGCACCGTGGCAATGGATTCTGCTTGTACGAGCGGAGAGCTATAATTACGCGATGCACTACATGAAAAAGATGTCATAACAAATGCCCGCAAAACGGAAGACGCTAGTAAATCCGCATGCTGATTGACTTCTGATCTCGAGAACGTTGTGCATCGCGGCGTTTCAGGCGCATCGAGAAAATGCATCGCAACCAGTTTTCCTTCGGGGCATCGTAGACCTCTCTCTTTCCTTTGCATGATAATTCGCGTATTCCGTGGGTTATTTTCTCGTTGAAATGAACGAAACCAACGTAAGTCTTCGCGAAAACTCCGCCCAATTGGAAGCAGATAATAATTAAGTCCGCTAATTGCTCTTGTCGGAATCGCCGCTGGCCGCATTTAATTTGCCATTTACTGCCGCGAGAAAATATTGATGAGTACGATAAAGGTGGGTTGGGTTTTCCGTGCTTTGCTTTTTAGTAATACACTGTATATTGCTACCGGATTAATAAATAAGGATAGCTCAGAGACAAGTTCATGAGATGCGAGGCGGAAACGAAAGTAATAAAGGACATCGCAAACAAGTGTGCAGTAGCAAATGTATTGGAAATTCTATACAGTTAGAATATTTACAAAAAGCTACAACGCTCGGTTGTAGCAATGCAATCAAATGTTTATTTTAAGATTCTAGTTCGGTTTTGAAAAAATATTTAAATCTTATACCTAGTCATCAACCACGTAGAAATAATTTACGATTAATTTACAATCACAATTTTAACCCTTTCGTCAAAGTATAGGTACGTGAATACTTATATCAAATCTTAAACGGTAAAAATTTATATATTTTGTTCAAATTGCATTATAATGTTTCAAAAATTCCACGGGCAGCAAAGAACAGTTTTACACAGACTTTCTCTCATATATTTTTATTTTTATATTTTAATATCTAAATAGTTAGATTAGTTGGATACAGATCTAAAAATAATTTTGTTGGCCCACCAAAATATGTGGAACGCTCAAATTGATTAGAATATCAAAACTTTTTGAAGTATTATTTCATTATGTTTGATATTCCTACGTAATTATTTTGATAGTCCAAATTCATTTTCAGATCCATAGTCAAATTATTCAATTTTAAGCAAAATCCTAAGATTTGTAACTTGTTCTTGTAAAACTTGTAAGAACTTTAACTAAACTAATATTCTAATTTTATGCATATGTACATCGTAAGACGATTATTCGTAAATGTCTACGATTTCTCGTAAATATCATGGCTTAATAAGAAGCTGTTTATAAAGATATCGTATAAAAATATAAGTACTTGAAAGTTCTTACGATTCCACTTAAAATTTAAGCATTAGTTACTTCAGCAAAACAATTCTTTCCGTGTGGTGAAACACGGTGGTGAAAAGATGCATTAACAAAAGGATTAAATATAAATCTATAAAATATACAGCAGTATAAATTTTCAAATAAATATCTGGTATTCTGGGAGATAAATTATAACCTTGAACCGCGTGTTTTGTGAGATCGTAAAAATGGAAACAGGATTTTCGGGATTTCGCCAACCTCCTGCTTCAGGACTGTCGTGCCGATCTTTCCGTCCGATATCGTCGCGTGCGCCTTATTTGCAACCCGAGAATAAAGCGGTTGTATCTTTGGAGATCTCTGCACGATTTCCTTAAGTTATCATTACCGGTATTTATCGGTGAGTCGCATGAATGACGTTACGATCGGCTACCACAAATAATTAAGCGCATCACAATTTACGATTAATTACATGCGCGCGCCGAGTACGAGTGGATTTAATGAAGTTAATTAAGAATCTAATATCGCAGGAAGCGTTCATCGACCATCTCGTACGTGCGATTATACTGGAATCTTTTTAGTTCAGCGATCTATCCTATTTGCCGCTTAATATTTTACGATGTATACTTGCGAGGCGCTCGATTGATGGACGATTGAAAATATAAAGTTCAATTTGGAAAATGCAACGAGATAAATTGGCTAACGGATCGCGATAGGAAAGCCAATATCGCTTGTGAATTTTTGTCCTCGAGATCGCGCGACCGATAAACGTGGCGTGAATTATGCAAAATCTACGTGTCCGATTGCAAGGAGGCTGTGACCTCGTCGCAATATATCATTACCAAGTGTCCAAGAAAACGGAAAGGACGCTTGAATTAGAGCGACAAGATGTACCGTTGTATTTGTATGCAATTTATATGCATTTTTTATAGACTTTTCTAAATGAAAGAGAGTTATTAGTTTTATTCCAGATTTTAATACTAGACGTACCAACCGGTCATTAGTGACGGTGTTTACTTTTTTTTTAGATTAATATTAATAATAATAATAACCTTATTGAATACAAATAATAAAGAGGTAGGTAAAAAAAATGCAGTAATAAATAAAGACATCAATTCCAGACAAAAGGCGAGACTGCAGTTACCGATTGGACTCCTGTCTGAAAATATATTCAACATAGTGTGACTAATACATAAATTAATGTAAACAATAATAAGCAGAAAATATTACAAATATTTGCAATATAAATTGTATACAATAGAAAATGAAGAGTTAAACAGAAAAGAAATAACAATGCAAATGTTGTTTTATTCTTATAATATTTCTTGTATAAACATAAGATTTCTTGTATAAATATAGGCTGAAATTTTTTTAGCTATTCAATAATTGTTTTTTATATAGATGAAATATTTGATTTTTCATCACTTTCTTTATTTCAACTTATTTGCTTTCCTTTTAGTGAATAAGAAACGTTGGTACTTCTAGTGTTAAATCATTTCTTACGTTATCTTACAGAGAATGAAGATAAAAGATATATAGACATGTATCGTTTAAAAAAACATCTCAATAATACTTACGATTTGCTGATAATCCGAGATAATCGAATGTAGGAAAAATGCTTGCGATTGCTTCCTTCTTGTGCGTCTTTTTATTTATGCGCATGGGATACACTTGACGATCGATCTACATACCGAATTGTATCGTACAATATCTTAATCGAGATCTGATATTTTACGCCGATGCCGGCGGCGGTTATGATTGCAATTGGTTAGCCAAGTCGTCGGCGTTGCAGCCTGGTTGTAACCGGCTCGAGAATAGAAATCCAGTTTTCGGCGGACACACATGATCATAAAAGATGCCAACCTGTTCCTCGGACACGATCTTACGGTGATTCTAGCACTGACCAGTCGGAGGATCAAGATATCACATAATTTCCGTAATCAACATTCGCTCTGCTCCAAGTGATAATAAACAAGTTTGCAAAGAAACTTTTCGCCGCTTCTTTATAACTTATCGTATTATCGCTTTATTATAAATTTGGAAATTATCGTAACTTGATAACGTTATATCATCTCGATAAGTCATTTGGAATCAGCCATTGGAACCACTATGGAACTGTATATGGAACAGTTTTACTAAAGTATCTGAAAATGTAGCTACAGATCCGGCTACTCAAGCTTGCTAGAATATTAAAATTTTTTTGCAACACTGCTTATCATACTTGAATTTCCTACATAATTATTTCGACTTCTAATAAAATTATTTTCAGACCTGTATCTATAGTTTACTATGCTCGAGATTCCTACATAATTTAATAACTATTTTTAGTTCTGTATCTAACAATTATCATGCTTTTCTTTTTATTATGGTTTAATGAAATTATTTTCAGATCTATATATAGCTAAATTTTAGACTTTTTAACAAAATCGTTCTTTCCTATTGTTATTGATTTATACTTATAATTATGTCCATCCAGTTTTTATGAAATCTCTAGTTCTAAGCAACTTTAAGCAGCACATAATTCTAATTAATATAATTGTAATATAAATTGTATATAATTGTAAATAATTCTATCTATAATTCTTACACGTCTCCGTCGAAATATCCATTTCCTCTTGTATTCCAACAATTTTATTCGGCAAAGTTCAACAGCATGCTCGATACACTTTATACAAACATCGTAGCGATAATGGCACGCATTTTCTGGATCGCTGACGCACATGTTATTGTTAGTTTTCAACCGCATTGCTCCAATACGCTTCGCAATGAAATACTTAATCACAGACATTGTTCTACGATAACTAGAGCCGAAGGATTGTCGGATTCACTGATTGTCTTCCGAGTGCATGGTGTTCAACAGAGCGAAGAAGGAGTACGAGCCTCGCAGGATCTATGAAAAACTCACAGTAAATTATCGACCAACCCCTTTGTGATTCAATCGCGAATGATAAACGACGTAATTTGCGAGTGCGTAAAAAAAATCGTGCTAAAGAAAATTTAATCGAGAAATCTGTGTAATAACTAACTAAAATAACCAATTCCAAATTATTTCGTGAATTATTTTCACTCTGATTTAAGTTATTTCAGGTATACACACAAGAAAATCTTCGGACGAATCAGTGCTTGGCCATTTAGACTTCGTACTTTGAGTGGTGTCTTTAGGCATTCTGTTGTATCAGACAATCGCGCGACCATCGATTTAATACGCAGTTATTCACGAAGGATGGGCGGAGAACGCTTCGCCTCTCTGCACGTGCTAAAGATGCGTTTTGATCTTCATGTTCCTTCTGGACTCTTATAGAGTACCATTCGCAACATCCGGCGTTCCATTCTTTTATCCCGATGTATTTACGACTATCAGCATCAATTCGCCGCAGGTAAAGAAAAATAAAATTGCCACACGTACGAAGCAACAGCGAAAAAACGCTGCACTATATTTGAAGCGGTGAGTGCTTCAAATATAAGAGGATGATTCACGGTTATCAAATTTTTCAGTACTAACAAAAACTGTTTAACTTCAGTTCTAGTAAAAAAAATTAACAAATTTACTTTTGGGAATTTAGATAAATATGACAATAGTTTTTAAACATTCCTAATTCTTGAAATCTTGTCTATTAAATGAAAAACTTAAATTTCAAATTTTGACTCACACTTTTTTTGTTCAACGTTGATGAAAAAAATTAAAAATGTTACGTTACATACTTTATGTGTTTCGAATTATATATATTATATATATTAAACAATTATATATATTAAACAATAATTTAACATAAGATTTAATTTTACGAATTAATTTTGGATTATATTAAACAATAATTTAATATGAGATTTAATTTTACAAATTAATTTTGGAAACACTGAAATTAAAATACTAACTATTAAACTATCTTTTCTGATTGTTTAGTCGTTGGTCATTCGAAAATCAATAAAAAAAACTTTTATATTTTAACGGGATATAGGATTTCATTTTTTTTCAAATCTTGAATCTTGATTCTTGGATTCGTGATCTACACACTCTCTCTCTCTACACTTTCTACGTTTTCAACTACCTATTTAAATTTTTTAGGTTCTTTGAAGCCTAAGACTACTGTTTTATGTAGAAAGCGTACCTATCCATTTCATGATGAAAAAGAATTTAGAAGAAAATCTTATTTTCGCACAAAATTGCGGACTCATCCTTTTTTATACTAACCGATTCACTTAAAGTTATTAATCTTCCAGTTAAAAAGCGACTTACTTAATTCATGCAAATCATATTTTTTTGCAAATGTCTCGTCGAGTTTGTTAAATTTCTTTGGAAAGTTCGGAATTGCGCGAGAAATGCGCTTCGATCACTATGTATTCAATCTTTCCTCCTCAAGTACCTGTTTAATGGCTTTAATTCCATTTAATTACTATGATCTCAGTCAATACTTTTTCTGCACTATGCGTACCAAAAGTATCACGCGGTAATCAACCGGTCTGAGGATACGATCATCGATGCGTTTTTGAAGATATACTCACCGCGGTGAATGTCTCCATGGATAAAGCGTAGAACACGCCTGCTTTCAGATTTATTGCTTTTCTCGAAAATATTATAGACAGTATTAGCAGACGTCCAGGCTTGGCGGAAATGTCATCATTCCATTTCGAAAGCCACTGGCTTTGCGTCAACGATGCGCTCTGTAAGATCATAAATCCAATGCGATATGGAAGTTCGCCTCAAGTATACACGTTACAAATCATGTGCGTTAATTCTAAAGAGATTACAAGTTTTATCAACATTCTAACTTTTCGTTGATTTTGTTAACGGGGCGTTATTAATGCTGATAGTAAAATAAAAAATAGATCTTGTACAACATTTTACCTTTAATATTGTAAAGTAAATTTGATCTTCACTTCCTTACTTTAAAAGATAATTAAAAGAAATAAATTTTTCAGAAAAGATGAAAAACTATTAGGTGTTGGAATTAATTCGTAGCGTTTTACAAAGTATTTATAAGTTTTAAAAGTACTTTCATTAATGTATTTTTTAATGCTCATGTGAAATAAATAACATTCTTTCATTAAAAAACGCTACGAATTAATTCCAACACCTAATATTTTTCAACTTGACAGAAAATTATTGACTCAAATAATGTCGACAAAAAGAATATATTCTTAACATGACCAAATGTCATTTTTGCTATTTTTGTTTTATAAATATCCTTAAAAAAAATATTCTTTTTGAGGATTTTGACGATTTTTTAAAGTTGGATTAGTACAGTTTTGATGATTGATAGAATAATGTTAAGTAATGTTAATTTATTATTGTAATAACTTGAAAATCACATGTTATCACTTTTAAAGCAAAGGAGTGATATATATTTTCGGAATTGCACTATTACATATTAAAAAAAAAAACCTTTTATATAGATATAAGTATTAGTGATAAATTAGTAATGAAAAAATGGTATTACAGTAAAGCAAGTGTTGCTGTGGAACATAATTGCACCTGGTATTTCACTTCGTTTCCCAGCCAACAGAAATAGAAAAGCTGCGAAAGGGCCGCCATCAAGTATACCGCAAACTTTAAGGTGTTGGAACTCTGGCCTATGACCTGCTCGAAACAAAGCGATGCTCTGATCACGATCTGACCGCGACTTGGCACTTTGACTTATCACGACTCACCAAGGCTGCTTGGAAGCCAGTTAGGCAAATCATCGAGGTGCTCGAGAGCATCTGAACGAACATGCCGGCGCTAAAGACTTCGTTGAAGTCGTCTATTATAGCAAGCAGACGTTGATGATTACGAATGGATCGTCCGAACGGCTTGGCAAAACTGCCGCAGCGAATCGCGTCCGGATCATAATTATCCTTTTTCCAGCTGGCTTCGGTTGTAGAAAATGCCCCGTAACAAGAGTTTTCATCGATGGTGCTTGAACGGTTTTGCTTATCTATATCACTTGGCGTCCCATCGTACCACTCGTTGCTGCCGCAGTTCTTAAAATGTGCATTCAGAATTTCGAGCTGCACGAGAAATAGATTGCATAAATTCGTGAGCAAACCGTCCATCATGATAATGGCGATTACGCCGATGGAGACGGTGCAGGCCTCGACGAAAAAGCCAATCCCGTGCCATGGATATACGGTTGTATCGAAGGGATACTGCGCTCTCACTGGGAGCTCTCCGTTCTCCACAGGCACGACGAACAGCAGAGCGATCACGAGGAAGAAACCCAGGACGCTAAACCCGTAGAAGGTCACGCGACAGAGCAGCAGGTATTTGTCCAGGATTTCATCTTCGACGCCAACTAATTAAAGGGATAATTAAAATTTATACGAAAAAAACAATTTTGTTAAAGTATTTGAAAAAGACCCTGCACTAATCGTGTGAAAAATTGAACCCTGGTGAAATGAGTTTTCACACATAATGTAGCTCGTAATATGGTGAACAAAGGATGTAATAGATACAAACTCAGTAATGAATAATTTCTGAGCTATGGTGTATCAAGAATAATATTTGTGTTCATATACTTGTGATCCTTTGGTATTCAGGTAAAAAATTATTCATTATTGAATTTATGTTTGTGACGTCATTTATTTCCTACATTATAAGTTACATTATATGTGAAAACTAATTCGTCGAGATTCAATTTTTCATATAATGATGCGCAGGTTTTTAAATAGATATAGATCTGTAAATAATTTTGTTGAGCCATATGATTAGAATTATTGCAAAAATTATTAACATTTTAGCAATCAGTTTGAGCGTCTTATTGATTATTAATTATTTTAATAATCCAACAAAATCATTTTTAGATCTATATTTAACTAAATTTTTAGGCAAAACTGGTCTTTTTGTATATATATATATATATATATCGATGTAATCGCGTTTGGCAGTTACTTGAAAAATTCTGACTGGGAGATGATTATTCAAAGGAAAAGTACAATCGTTTTCACGCTGTCGATATCGCTGGTGTGTACTTTGCATCTTACGCAATGTGATATTAGAATTAGATATTAGAAACTTGATATGCGATTTCAAAGAAACGTCACGTGTCGCGGATGCATATATCAGGCGTGATTATGCAAACTGTCGAGTAATTCTCTGTGAATGAGTCGTAGATCCTTAATCGCGTATCAAGAGGATATGTTGCGAGAAGGACTGGCAGAGACCGACAAGGAAAAATTCTTCGAGTGGTCCTGAATTAACGGAGAAGTGACGAGCTACGATGGCCCTTTCGCAGTGTCCTTTCGACGTGCAGATCTCATTAAAGTGTAAAATTGCGTGCCCTCCTGTCAGCGTGTTTGCTTAACAGAGGATACATATATTTATGTGACTTGACACTAAAGCCATTTACATTTCATACTTTCATGGATTGCAACAATTTAATATACGTTTAATCTTTCATTATTCACGCGGTGTGTCCAGGATATCCGCTTTATGAAATCACTGATTATATATACGTATAATTGCTATATTTACACACTTTATTAAATTTAGCACAAATTATTTCACAAAATAAAAAATTTTTTTTATTTTATCTCTAAAGAAATGTGTAAAATATTATTAATTTTTATTTGATTATAAACGATTATAAAGAGAAAATTGAGATAGAATGTTGTCATCCTTATGAAAAAAAAAAATAGTATTGATTAAGTGAAAAAAGTGTTGGAACGATTAGTGCTCAATATTGGATTTGAAATAATATATTTAATTTTTCAATTATTTCTGATCATTTTTTCGTGAGTCTAATAGTACTTTTCTTAATAAGGGCAGAAACATCTCATAAGTAATTACGTTAAAAAGTATCACGCAAGTAACGTAGAGTTAAGAGCAGACAATATACAGACATGTGTTTAAATAAATATCGTCGACGATAAAATTGTGTGACATACGAAATATTGAATGTTATAAAACAATTGATATTTCATTTAAAATTATTCGATCCTTCTCGCATTCTTTTGCCATATTGGTCTCGCATATCTAAATGCTGATTGATTACACAAACGCAATTTTACTCACTGGGAAACTTGCAGAGTTCAATACAATTGTCGATAATTTTGCGGAGCAATCGTATGATTTTCTCATGACGAGTTTGGAAGATCATCACCTTGAAGAAGACGACGATGATCCCAGCAAAGATGCATCCATCGTCCGTAACGATTGACAAGTCGTCAAAACTCATGCAAATGTCAGCGAATAGAGTTATCATGAAGACAAGCATAATTGCTAAGACAGATTTGTTGTATACGTGATATGAGCATCTTAGGAACGCGGACGAATTCGAGTCGAGAGTCCATAAACCAACATACCTGAAATTATTATAAAAGAATATTTATAACACTGAACAAATTTTGATCAATATGTTATTTCTCAACACATAATAATTGTATCTTGTACGGTTTTTAAACAAAAAGGTAGATATATTTTTTAAAAAATTCTATCATTCTTTAATTTTCAAAAATTCTGTTTAAAATAAACGTAGATTTGTAATAAGTGCAATAGTTATAAGAAATTTAAATATTTTTTTTTACAGTATATGAAAATAAATATGATGATATAAATTTTATTTATGATACAATTTAAATGATATATTAAAATAATGAAATTTATTGGCAACGTTTAATGTCAAAAGATTTACAATTATATTAGTTTCTGTTTTTCAACATCTTAATGATCATTTTTATGTATCTTACTCTGTAAAATAAAAGAAAAATGTAGACTGTACTTAGTTTTTTTTAAAATAAATTCTTAATTTCTTAAAATCTGTGGACGGTGAAACTTTCTCAATTACATTCTCTTTCAATAACCGAAAATATATAAGAATCATCATTCGGATATTGAGAAACAGAAAATGTAAATCTGTACAATCGGGGAAAAGAATTCGAAGTCAGCTCGAGGATTACACAAACGATACACAGATATGATATACACAATTATAAAATGTAAAACGAGACAATACGATCTTCTAAAGTACGTGATAAACGATCAGTCAATCACGCGTGATAAGATTTATAACAGATCTCACTTCAGGTAACTGAGATGCACAATGTTCAACTTCTCGAACTGTTCCAAACGATTGCTAGTCGTTCCTCGCGTCATCCCTGCTACTCCGCGTCGTGGCCACGATGACAATAAAGGACACGCTGCTTGCAGGGCATGGGAGGTCACCTGTATCGCGTGGGTGCGATTCCTCGAGCGATACGTTATATATCAAAGTACTCATTATCGAGAGTCGTTTGAATCTATATTCCCCTTCGCTGTACTAGGAGAAAATTGTCCATGATAAACTGGACGCAGATTGTACTGTCACGTCTTTTTTTCCACGAATTATAGACACTCGCTTGTTGCGGCAACGTCTTCCATCACGCCAATAATTTAAGAAAATGGCGGTAATTGCAATGCTGCTGCAATCCCGCGATTCGTTTCGTTCCCAAGCATTTTGTGTTTTACCGCAATAAGAGGCCAATACAGAAACAATTTATATCAAGCCGCACATTCATAAGTATAAACGGTCCATCGTTTTCCACTTATCGAAATAGTCGACTCGACTGCAAATTTGACAATGTGTGTTTTGCTGTAAGACGATTCGATCACTGTAGTATTGCCAGTTCTTTCACGATTGTATAACGACACATAATTTATTGTTGATGTAAGGTAAAAAAATCTTTGAGACATTTTTGCAAAAACAGTTTAGTGATAATTGTATCTATCTTTTAAATTCACTTTTTTACATTCGCTTTTATTTAATTGTAATTTGCTTTTATTTATTTATATTTGCTGTCATATAACTACAAAATGGAAATTAGAGAATAATTATGAAGCTACAATACATATTTAATAATTTTTTTATTAAAAAAAAATTATTGTGTCTTTCTTTTAAATTTACTTTTATTTATTTATAATTTATTTTTATTTAGTTAGAGATTTATTTAGTTAGACATTTATTTTTATTTAGTTGTGATTTGCTATATTCTTATTTTATATATTTATTTTTATTTATTTATAATTTATCATTATATAATTGCAAAATTAAATTAAAATTAGAAAACAAATTATAGAGTTACAATACGTATTTAAAAAAAAATTGTATTCAAAATAAATAAAAAATAAATTCCGGTACCGGGAATCGAACCCGAGCCTCCTGGGTGAGAGCCAGGTATCCTAGCCACTAGACCATACCGGATTATGAAAGGTTCCTTGTGAATTTTAAAGAAATAATTAGCTATCGTACTTGAATTATACAATAAATTTATACATTATTGATAGTTTTGTATTTTTGTAAATATTATGTTAGCTAACCGCAATAATATATCATAACGATTCTATAAAATAACTCTGGAAATAGTCATAAATAAAAAAATTATTATTTCTATGTTTTGCATTCAGTAATATAAATAACATTATTAACAATAATAACAACTATTACATATATTTGCCATAACAATTAACAGAAAATCGTTTTTAAAAAAGTAAAAAAACATATCGTCTGTACTAATTGTAAGTTTCGAACCGACGACGTTTTAGATGATACACATTTCATGATAAATTCGGTACTCCGATCGTTATATTTATTAATTACTAAGGCAAAAAATATAATCAACAATTGCATAACTTGTAATAATGAGCAAAAGAATTTGTCAGAAGTGGGATTCGAACCCACGCCCTCAGAGAGGACCAGAAAGCCCCAAACTCGGTATTAAACCGAGAAGGTATGAACCTTGAGTCTGGCGCCTTAGACCGCTCGGCCATCCTGACAATCGATTACAAGTCTCTTAATAATGCAGATAAGCTGTACACAGCAGTGCACATGTTAAATTTAATGTAAGACACGTAATAATAAATATCCATGATTTATTAAATAATTCAATAATATAAAATAATTAATAATCTATAATATAATAATAATTGATAAGCCATAACATAAAATGTTTCATTACCAACACAAACTGTAAAAAAAAATCAATTATGCTTGCCATAAATTTTATGGAAAGCCCTTTTGTCTATAAAATGCGTATGAGATGAAAAATAATATATTGTAAAATTTTTAATAAATTCGAGAACAAATTAATTAATTATTTTCCATTGTGTTTTTTATTCACGGCGTTTTTGTGAGCAAAAGAATTTGTCAGAAGTGGGATTCGAACCCACGCCCTCAGAGAGGACCAGAAAGCCCGAAAAACTCAGTTTTTGAACAGAGAAGGAGTAAACCTTGAGTCTGGCGCCTTAGACCGCTCGGCCATCCTGACAATCGAACTCATCTTTCTTAAAATAATTACATGAATATTTATTCAATTTATAAATTTACATCGTTCATTAATATTATCTTTCAGATTACAAATAATTTTTTTATTTGTATATATATTTAATTTTTATATACATATATAACACCGAAAATATAAAATTTTAATTATTATTGTTAATTATGTTATTTACAAATTCTATATGAAATGTATTTAATAAAATAAAAATATATAAATTTCTAGATAAAAAAAATTAAATTGTAAAAAAAAGTTATGTTTCCGCCCGGGATCGAACCGGGGACCTTGTGCGTGTGAAGCACACGTGATAACCACTACACTACGGAAACTTACGAAAGAATCTTCTTCTGATTTTGAACATCTAGTTCCTTCAAGCTATTCTATTATAATTAAAGACTTTATTAATATGATATCACTTTATATTTAAAAAATTTCATTGAAATATATAAATTATAATAATTATATTATGTCTGAATTTTATATGTAGAAAAGTATAGATTTCAAACAATTGAAGCATTTCTATATTCTATTTTTTATACAAATATATTATCCTAATAATTAAATACATTATTAACTGAGAATTAATATTAAACATTTTATTCGATAATTAATATCGTCTAAAATGTTAGAAATAATTAAACATAAGTAATGTTACAAAAGATAAATATACATACTATATATAATAACATAATAGAATTTGTAGATTATCAATTAGAATATATATAAATATTTATTAATTTGATAAATAAAACAAATGAATTCGAACACAGTAGATATGTCATAAAATAGATCGTAAGAGGTACTGACTTATTGTTAGAAGAGTCGTATAATGGTAACAGAAATGTAACGCCGTTATGTCTGTAAACAAATCCGTGGGATACAATGCCATCCTTCACGAGAAAAACACAGCCGGCGTGCCAGAAATATTTCGGTATTCTTTGAATTGTAAATGCTACATGACATTAAATCGAGGCTGTTCATCGTCGCTTCGACGAATTTGTGGAATTTCTACGGTGCTTCTCTCCCTATTTTCGTCACGGTACAGAGATTTACAGTCTCATTCGAACAATGGTATTGCATTACAACAGTGATTAAACCGTGAGTTACAGTATTCGGATATTTCGGATTTGATCGACAGTGCCCATGATTTATTGACGCAACTGCGTGTTGCCAGTTGCTGTATTTCTTACGTTTTCTCGCTCAATATTTTATCGACGGAGGCTAATAATACATTAGAAGTTTAACCCACAGTAGGCACATCTATTTTATGATCTGTTTTCACCAACGCAGATTAACTTTAATTTCGGTTCAACTTACTCTTTGTTTTTTCTAATTCTAAAGATTAGAAAAAAAAACGAAGAGTAAGTTAAATTGAGATTAAAGTTAATTGATGGAAATGGGCATATTTAACCAAGATTGCGCGTTTATTGTAAAATACAATACCAGAGAGAGAAACCTAAAAGAGGTCATCCCGGCATAATAAATGTAACATTGAAAAACATTGATTTTAAACTAAATGGTATAATAAATTTCTATGGCAATTAATATACCTAAATATTTTTTTATATTTTTATTTTCATGTCACGCAATATGCAAACGCTGTATTATAACTTTGTTATATACGTAATAATTAGATAATTACTTATTACTTATTTTTTTATATTCGGCAAACGAGAATGGATTAAAATGGATTGAAATTTTTTTCTATCCGAATGCGTATTTTAAAAAAATAACGAATACCTTTTTTTTGGATTTAATTGGATTCAATTAGATTCAATTGGATGCAATTGGATTAAAAAACTGCTTTTCCTATTCAAAATTTTGAATTGACGTATTCACAATACACAGAAAAAGCTAATATTATTTTTAGATTGAAAGACATAGAGATATGCTCCGTGCAATTCCTATAAATGAATAAAACTGTATTCAGGATTGAAAAGCGTTCATTTAACATTCATGAATCAATATTTCTGAAAATTTGAATTCATTTCAATTCATTTCAATCCATTCGTTTGCCGGATTGTATTATCCAATTTGTAATAATTATTTACATTCAAAATTAATTGTTCTTTATTATATTGTTCAACAGTTTAGGAAACGTATCAAAATCCGTACAAAAATATAAAAAATGTTTAGCGTTCAAAATATGATATGAATATGTACCCATACATTAATAAAAGAATTAACAAATATTTATAATAATTAATTAGAACGTTATATTTTACTTTACTTTATACTTTAAAATATGTACTCATAAACATTTTACAAAATTATCCTAATAAAAGGGTGTTTTTTTTCATGTACATATCATATAAATAATGATTTTATGTTTTAAAACGTGTACTCGATCATAAACTTCATAAAGTTATCATAAAGGAGTGTTTTATGTATCACATAAATAATGATTAACTCACATTATGTTCCATAAAAGGTGTAGTTCTTATACGCCTTTTAACATCCCGTTGGCAAAGTGTTGAGATTTGCGGGTAATGCAGGCGTTTGAACGAACGAGAGACGCGTTTAATTAAAAATGTACAGATCGTGTAAGCATTCTCACGGATCTCGTCACGCATTACCAATTCGTTCACGTACAAAAATCGCAACAGACGTTAATTTTCCCTCTCTCATCCCGAAATTTCGCTCCAAATGCGGCGACTGTCGCTCTTGCCCACCTTTCTTGAAACTCATTTAACGCGCCTCTTCCACGAAGCACCCGCAGCCGGTTTGGTTTAAAAGGGAGAGAAGATCTGATGCTTATATACTTACTGAAGAATCTCGAGGGCGAGCAGACATTAACGAATATAATCATATAGTGGATTAAAAAATTAGTATGGCGAGTTGTTCCTAAGTTGCCGTACAATTGCTGAAGAAATATATCGTGTATCTTTAAAGTTAATTCAACTATATATTTAATTTTTAATGTTTCTTGATTTTCAAATATACATGTTATATAATAATGTATATATATCTTCACACTTGAATATACAGTTACAAAATTGTAATTGTCCGGACAATTGTGCGCCATTATATATCGATACTTTCCTTAAATTGCTAGCCAAGTGTCAAAAATCGTGAAATTGTTAAAAATGTTTACACACCCATAATGTTTTACTAGGCATTAATAATTTATGTTTATATTTGAAGAACTGATTGTAAAGCTATGTTGTCACACTATTCCCAAAATGGATCTGTCTGTTATACCATTACAGTATTTGAGCATATCGTAAAGATCTTATCATACTACGCATTGGAGATTGAAGATTACGAATTAGCTAAGATTAGAATTCGATCAGTTAGATAACTTTAATTTTAATCCGTTTCGTTCTGATTGGCTAAATTCTAATCTTTATTTCGCCTATGGGAATTGGAGATTAAATGGAAGATTATAAAGATATCTATCTGATCGAATCCTAATCTTTAATTCGCAGTTATAATCCTTAATCTTCAATGCGTATATAATGTAACATGAGCTTTACGGTACCATGTACTATGATGGTCGCGGATCGGTGGGCGACCATCAAGTATCAAACTCAGACGTCGGCGAGAGATTACGCGCATCTGCGGGACATAGCTACCAATTCGTGGGTATCGTACCATGAAATGCATCTCTCGCCACTTAGCGGACGAGAATTTGGGACGACGATGTGCGTGTTGATAACGTTATGCGACACTTGCATTTGCACGCGTTCCAGAACGCGGTCGTACGACCCGTCTCTTTGGCGGATATTGATGATGCGGGAGTCCATTTACATTTATACTCGGCCTCACTACATTGATCGCTGCATTAACTCCATTAACATTCTGATAATGAAACACTTGAACCTGTAACAGTAACACATTTTTTTGTAACACTGCATTGAACAAAAATTACTAAATTTTAATAAATATTTGTTTAAGTAGTTTAAATATTTGTTTAAGTATATTAATTATTGAATCGTGTACATAATAATATTATCGGATATTAGCTTAGTCACAAATTCAATGTTTCTTCAATGAAAATTTGATACAAGATCATTATTTGTTTCAACTTTTATCAATGTTGAAGCAGCGACTATCTCTCGCATTGTAATATCCAATATTTATGTAAGAGGACATTCGACACGTTTCGTATACAGTTCTACCAAAAGGTCGCGCGATAAGACATAATCCGATTTAGAAAGTTAAACATATAAATCTGTTTCATCTTCGTGCTCATGTCGCACTCAAATCTATGAAAGTCGTTTTTTAGATACTAAGCTACGAAAGTCAACTTTCGAAGCGTTATATACATACATATATATATGCAAAGGAAGAACATAATTTTGCAACTCTTGCTTATGAATCAATGCGTGTCCAGGATAAGAAGTTTAGTAGAAAGCAAGAAAGTTAAGTAAGTTAAGTAATATTCGATTTATTTACAAAATTACAATAAATTATATGTCGGAAGGGGATCGATGCGATCTTTGAGTCAGTCATAGTGACTGGGGAATCATCACTAAATAATCGAGACTATTCTACACACCTGAATATTAACTCTCACTCAACCAAAAAATGCAGACGAAATATTTTCTAACAAAATATTATAATATTAGTTTCGCGAAATATACTGCGATATTGTATGTATATACTTTTATATCATTTATATATATATATATATATATCCACATGTATCAGAAAATGTTATGGTTTTTTTACGTGTCTAACAAAAATTTCGATAGTGAGAGAGTTAATAATACGGAGATCAAACATTCCTTCCGAATACACGAACAATATATAAATAGTCAAAGGTAATCGCGGGGTATAGCAAGATATTATGCATATTGTTATCGATGTGTCCAGGAAATACAATAATTGAACATAGTTGCAAGAATTCTAATATATTCTAATCAGACTCGTAATTCTTAGGCAATACATTTTTTAATAGCTCAATTTCAAATGCAGCGATATAATTTTTGGACTACATTTATCATCATTTAAAAGCTGTCTGTGAAATTAATTTGAGTATACATTGCTTAATGTTAAACAACAATTGAGCACCACTATTCGCACGAGGTTTGCAAACCTCCAAATTTTCCTGTCGCGTAAATCAGAACGAAGTGATCGTATTATATCGTCGACATGACAATTGTTTTACTACATCAACTGCTGAAATAATTACATATTGTAACGAACGGCATGCAGATAGGCTTTCGCACGCGAACGAGATTTCCACAGATATTACGGCTAAATATATTAAATTATATGAGAGCTTGAAACTATGCCCTGCAATAAATACAACATGGAAATTGCATGCAGTTAAATTCGTATCCAAGAATAATACATCCCTTAACATTTAAGTGAGATGAGGTGACCAGATTTCTCAGACAACAAATGTATCGTTTATTTGACGTAATTAATTGGTCATTCTTAACGAATCTAATGCCCTATCATCGTAAAAGTGACGTGGATTTGTCATAGACACATAACATCATATTAATCAATGTTAAAAATACATCATTATTTTTATATTATTAACGGCATCAATGAATAACATTATTAATTGATTACTAATAACATTACGAATACGTCGTCAATTAATTATTTATCTGACGTCAATAAGTATGACGTAAATATTGTCATAAATAACGTTATTAATTGGTAAAAAAGATAATGTCATTATTACATCTTAAATAGATCACGTGACGTGATCTATAATTCAAAATGACTAACTATTGATGTTAAAATGATTATAGTTTGCCTAGATTAATTTTCTTAAAAACTTTGTTTTGGAAAAAGAAAATAAAAAATATTGTGAAAATAAAGATAAGAAGTCTTAAAGTTCATTATTTTTACATTTTTTTTTGTAGTCTATCTTATAAGGATATAATTAATATAAATTTAACTAATGCAGTAAAAAATATAACTGCAAAAATAAAACTTTTTGGGATATTCTGAACACCTCATCTACTAACTTGCACATCTTTACATCACTTACTTAAAGATTAATAAATATAATTATCAAATTTATTTTTAAGTTGCCTGATAACCAAAAATATACTGAATGTATTTTTAAAATGTAAAAATGTATAAAAATACAGAAGAGGTAATTGTTTCACGCAGAAAAACTATTATCACATAATCTATGTATAGATCTAAGAAACTATACTGTGTTAAAAAAAGAAATGCTTTTATACAATCTATCGTGAATATTTGAGACAAGAAATTACGGAGATGTAATATGTAAACAGAGTGTACAATAAAAAATTCGAATCGTCTGTAAATATATAATAACAAATAAAGATACTTAACAAATTCACTTTTTCCTCTTATCGCTATCTCTGTCGGTTGTCTTTTCAATTATCAATTTGTTTCGTTTCCTCGTTATAGTCGTCGATCGAGTACTCGGCGTGATCTGTTTTAATCCTTGCTGTTGCAGAATTTTACATGGACTAGCTGCACGTGGTGGTGTTGTACCCTTGAGAAGAGCTTCGACATCCGCCAATCGTTTTTTGAGCGCTCTATTTTCCTTTTTGAATCTTACAAGCTCAGAATCCTTATCCAATCGTTCGTAACCGGAGCTGCTTGTCTCCTCCGCAAAGTGCCTAAACACGTGATGCAACTTATCTTCGTACTGCCTCTGCATTAAAATCATTCGTTTCTCGGCTTCCATTAGTCGCCAATCCTGATTCGTGATGTGAGCCTCGAGTTCGGTTATTTGAACTTCCAGATTTTTCGAGCTTTCCTTCAAGTCGATCACCTTGCGAAAATATTTCATAAATAACGTTATTATTTCACCGTGTGAAAGTTTCTTCAAACGCTCCGTCAACATTCTCTCGCCCTTCTCGCGTTGTGATTGATTCTCATCAAAATCCTTCCGTCCGCAAATCATCTCATTTTTGTGCTCGATCATCGCATCGATGGCTTCGATGGTCTCACCGCATTCTAGCAGTTTACGTTCTTCGACCATCGTCAGAGTTCTATCCTTTTGAAACTTCTCATCTAAGTCGCATTTTTCGTCCACTAAACAATCTCGAGTGCGCCTCAAATTCCTAATCTCGTGTCGTAACGCTTCTTTCTCGTCCATATCAGCGGTTCTCTCTAGATCCATTGATTTCTCTTTTAGAACGTGATCCAGATGAGATATCCTTGCACTAACATCCATCAAATTCTTCATCTTATCTGAACAATCAACTTTTGATTTCATATTGTGTTTTTCATCCTCGCTCTCCGATTGCATTTCCTTCAATTTGGATGCAGTTAGATTATATTTCTCCTCAAGTTCACGAATCTTTTGCTGATCCTTAGCCAACTCGTCCTCCAACTGCTTCTTACGTTCCTCTTCTCTCTTCAATTGCCGCTTTAATTTATCCATTTGCTTCTTCGACGTATTTAACGAGGCTTCCAATTCCAAGACTTTCTTCGCGGAATCACCTGCTATTTGCTTTATCATATCTATATCCATCATTCGTTTCTCATAATGTATCGCTATATTTTTCATTAATTCAATTTCTTTCTTGTGTGTCTTTTCATCATCCTTGTACATATGTGCATTTTCCGCTTGTGCCAATTGTGTTCTCGTGTTGTAATACTCCTCTTCCAGTTTACTACGTTTACGTTGGAATTTTTGCTTCGCGCTGGTGCGCGTATCGGAATTCTTTATCATATCTGCTATGAAACGTTGCTTAATCTTAATTGTCGTTTGCAGTTCTTCGATACGTTTATGCGCTCCATCCAAATTTGATTGAATTTTCTTCACTTGCGTCTGTTTCGCCTCGTTATTTAGCGTTAGAGCTTTCAACTCTTTAATAGGTTCAGGCATTTCCGTGTTCTTAAGAGCCTCAAGTAATAGATCGGGTGAATTATCGTTTTGTATTGCAACAAAATTGTCGTTAATGATATTATTAGTAATATTTACTTCTGACTCACGATTACCCAACATGTAAGGATTGATATATTCTGAGATACGATTTTCAAGGATTTGATTTTGGCAAGGTTTCAGGCTGTCATTAAAAGCTAATACTTCGTTACACATATCGGAACCAGGTAGCATCGAGTTTCTCCTGGAATTTGGATTTCTTATCGGTATGGGACGAGATATCGGTACGTAATTATTATTTACGGATCTCGTCACTGGAGATATAATCGCAATGTTTGCCTCTCTGAAATCATCCTTTGTAGAATCGACAATTCTATCCGTCTCCAATTTAAATTTACTCATGCATTCGTCCAGCTTCTCCAAAAAATCTGGATTTTCCGAACTCACGTCACTTTGATCGTCGTCTTCCTCCTCGTCATCCTCTTCCTCTTCCTCATCATCATCAACATCAGATATTTCACTCTCTGAACTGGAGGTACAATTGGGATTGAGCTTAAGTTTCGTTTGATTCGCAGATTCGTCAGTTTTTTCATCAGTCTCAGTTACTTCCTCAATGCGTTCCAACGATCTTCTGGTATTTTCCGCATATCCCTGCAAACTGGTACTCTCATCGCTGGCTATACATTCCTCGTACTCCTGTTTCATGCACAGCCACTGCTCAATTTGATCTTGATCAGTGTGTGGCAGAACATTACTTGTCATGAGTTTCGTAAACAGACCTTCTGCATTAGAAACTAACTTGGACCATTGAGAAGCAGCAAACTCCAATCTGAATAGATCTGCGCTAGAACTACGTTCACCGGAAGTAGCAGGCGTCATTGTGTCGTGCACCTCCTCGCCAGTCTGCTCAGTTTCTTCTTCAATCAGCCGATGACGTTCATGATCGTGATCGTGGTAGGATGGCATCATATCAATATATGGCATGCAACATTGATGATCTGCTATCGGCTGATGTTGAATCCACGGGCTATAATGCATCATTTTACTCATATGATCTCATCTAACAAGACACACGTCCATTCGAATACAAGCTAATCTGCACCTGTAAAATGTCATTTTTTATCGTCTGTTTCATTGATTAAATAACTATTGCAGCATATGAACATTATTTCTTTCCAATCATATTTTTACATCTTCTGCCTGCAATTTGGATTTTTCTGTTTCAAAAAATTTGAAAAAATTCTAAATAAATTATAAGAATAAGGGTTATACTTTTCAATATCTTTATTACGTGACGTAAAGTTTTTTAATTCAAATTAAAACTTAGGCTGTATGTTTACATAATAATTTACATCTATATATATTGATATTAATATAAACTATGTTTTGTGTCATCTATATAAACAATGTATGGATTATTGAAGCCTATGTTCTTTGTCGTTAAACTAAAATTTCTATCTGGCTTATGTTTATTTATTAATACTAAAGTCGAATATATTAACAATCATGAAACTTAAGTACATACTCCTTTCTTTCTATTATCCAATTTATATATTTTTCATTATTTATATTGTCTACACAAAAAAATTAATCTAAATTTAACATAAACAATACATAAATATTCCATATAAACGTAATTTTGAATATATAAAAGAATTCTGATTAAAACGTTTAAATTGAAATTTGAGAAAAAATGAGAAATAAAAATATAAGAATAAAATTTCATTCGTGTCAAAAAAAAATCCAGATTGTAGATAGTCGTGTAAAAAAAATCCAGATAGACAGTTAATCTCGCTATTTAAGCGAAGTATTGAATTACATAAGCATAGAAAGAGATTAAAATAAAATCAGTAAATAATACTTACAAGTGAAATTCCTAACCTATCAGGACTTCCCATGTCTCAGAACTATGTCTCGGAATTCCTTATCTCACGGAAGAGCCGTAACACATATTTTATATTGCATACGCTTTACGATTTCATGAATTAAACGTCATATTTTTAACGATTATGAGATTACATCGTTATGTGTTTGCAAGCTTTCTTTCAGCTGGCTTGACAGGAATTGATGTCAGCTAACGTAGAGCGAATTTACGCAGCCGCGCCAAGAACGGAAATTGCATAAACGTCAGATTTGTTCTCTATACTCTCTGTAGTAGCATTACTTCGCAGTTAAATCTTCACTTGAAACGGAGATTTACGACATAGCGCCTCTGTGTACAAAATGTGTACAACATACATTAAACTACGTGGCTATGTTTAAATATTTACAACGGATAACACGCAGTGTCTACGCAAATTTTTCTCTGAATTTTTCATAATTTTCAGAATTTTTATTTAAATCTCAAAATTTGCTAAATGTTTAATATAACGCTTCTCTCCTTTGATTTTCATAGAATTATATTCTGAGAAAGAAAATCGTCGCACAAATCTCGTATGGTATTCGATTGGTTGATATCGTCTTGAAAGCAGAAATCGCATTGTCCGGTCAACAGTAAACCTCGTTATGAGTGTCTCAGATGGCATCTCGCACGTTGCTATGCATGTCATTTTCGTTGCTATGGTAAACTTGACAAGTGTTTATATCAAAAACGTGACAGCTTTGACAGTTCGCTTCGAATGTTATTTCTCGCTGTAAAACACGGTACTTATTTTCTCACAACTACATCACATGGAACAGTATGAGAGAAAATCGTTACTTTATGTAAAAGTATCTTTTGATTCCTTACTTTTGCTCATAAATCATTTGGTTAGAAAGATTTTAGTCAAAGTTAAGGTCTTAACAGAAAGCTGATTTATACGGCCATTCTACAATAAGCTATTAGTCTTAAATCAGAAGTCAGAGACTAAAAATTGACGACAGTGATTGGTCAATTTTTAGCTTCTGACTTCTGATTTATGACTAACGGCTTATTGTAGAAGGCCCATTAAAACTATAAGTCAGGTTTTCTGTGGCCCTTACAATTGATTATAAATGAAATACTTTGATTTCAGAGCTTTACATCAATTCTGTGAAAGAACTCCAGGAAGACTGACATAAACCAGCAATGTTCGTTTATCTGAGCAAGAAGATTTCAATACCAAACAACTTTCGATTAAACTGCATAGCATGGAATCAGAAGGACGGATACATTGCAGTGGGAGGAGAAGATGGTCTTTTAAAAGTTCTTCGAGTAGACTCCAATGTCAACGGGTCGCACAGCGATGGGAAATCTCGAGGCTTGGCTGCGGCAAGCAATCTGAGCATGAATCAACCCCTGGAGGGTCACAATGGACATGTTCAAGTAGTGACGTGGAATGAGGAATATCAGAAGCTGACATCGAGTGACCAGAATGGAGTCATTATCGTTTGGATGCTGTATAAGGGTTCGTGGTATGAAGAAATGATAAATAATCGCAACAAGTCTGTGGTGAAAGGTATGGCTTGGAGCTCTGATGGTCAAAAGATATGCATAGTCTATGAGGATGGAGCTGTGATCGTCGGATCTGTCGATGGTAACAGAATCTGGGGTAAGGAATTGAAAAATGTATCCCTTTCTGCTGTACAGTGGTCTCCAGATGGAAAATTGCTTTTGTTTGGTTTGAAAAGTGGAGAGCTTCATCTCTATAATAATCAAGGCGTATTTCTGACAAAACTGAATATTCCCTCACAGAATACCTCCCAGTTTCAAACCATAATGGCACTACAGTGGTACGATGGAAGGAACGGTTACGTTGCCATGGACTGTCCGACTCTAGCTATTTGTTATCGCAACGGTAGGATTCTATTGATGCGAGATACCAGCGATGACAATCCAATTATGTTGGAGACCGGAGTGACCACTTCGTGGTGCAACTGGAATAGCTGTGGCTCTCTCTTGGCGATAACAGGCATGATGCCGTTACTCAGTAACGGGGAAACGAAGGACATGAATGTTATACAGTTTTACACGCCATTCGGCGAGCATATGAGAACCCTGAAGGTACCAGGACGGGAAGTAACGTGTTGCACTTGGGAGAAAGGTTCCCTCCGAGTCGCTTTGTCTGTCGACTCCCACATATACTTTGCGAACATTCGTCTGGACTACAAATGGACGTACTTCAGCAACACGGTCGTTTTCACGAACGAAAAAATTGGTAAAGATGGCACCTGCGTGACGTTCTGGAACACGAGCAGCAACACGTGTTGCACTAAGTACGTGAGATCTTTGATATCGATAGCCTCGCATGGGGAACACTGCGTACTCTCCGTAAGAAACGATCCCACCCAGGCTACTGAGCAATTCGCCCTCCTCGTTTGCAACACCATCGCCACACCGATAGACTCCAAGTTCTTGGATCTGGAACCGTTGTACCTTACCATGACGTCCAATATGGTCGTGGCCGCGTCTAAGAACAATTTCTTGATTTGGAACTTCCGCGCGCCCCGTAACTCGACGTTGCACCCGAGCAGGATGCGCAAGTACAAGATCTATCACGTGGACGAGACGCCGACCGGCGTGACCGAGGTCATTCAGGATTTGGACAAGGACGGCGCATTCGAGACCCCCATCAGTACGAAGGCCACCATGGATCCGATCTGCTGCGTTTACGCCACCGAAAAGACTCTTCTGGTCGGCCGAGACTCGGGGATGATTCAACGGTATTCTCTGCCACAGATAACGCTCGTGAATCGATATAATACTGTATGCAGATTGCACAGAATCGCCATTAATTGCGATTCCACGCGCGTTTCCATCCTGGACGCCAATGGTATACTCTCTATGTTGGATCTGGATCTGCAAAAACCCGATTCGCGAGACGGAGACTCGAGTGAGGATATATCTAAGTTTGAGAGAAAAGATGTATGGGCTATGTGCTGGGCACAGGATAATCCCTCGCTCTTGGCGATTATGGAGAAGACTAGGATGTATGTTCTGAGAGGATTGGATCCCGAAGAGCCTATAGCTTGCTCCGGATATATTTGTTCTTTCCAAGACTTGGAGATACGCTGCGTTTTACTGGACGATCTCATGCTGAAGTCCGACGACATGCGAAAGGACTTGATTGTGGACTTGGAAGTAAAATCTCTAAGAGACACAAGGGAGCTGTTGGCCAAAGTGGGTCTGAAGGAAGCCAACAATTTCATCCAGGACAATCCGCACCCGCGTCTTTGGCGTTTATTGGCCGAGTCGGCGTTGACAAAGCTGGACTTAGAAACAGCGGAGAACGCCATGGTGCGCTGCACGGATTATCTGGGTATACAGTTTATCAAGCGTTTACAAAACGTGCACAACGATCAGCTGAAGAAGGCCGAAGTTGCGGCGTTTCTTGGTAACTACGACGAGGCCGAGAAGCTTTACCTGGACATGGACAGGAGAGACCTGGCAGTTGCCCTGCGCCAAAAGCTGGGCGATTATTTTCGGGTTGTGCAATTAATGAAAATGGGCATTGGCGGTTCGGATAAACAAATGGAGCACGCGTACAACAAGATTGGTGATTACTTCGCCGAGAGACAGAACTGGGAGAGTGCAAAAGAGTACTACGAGAAAGGTAGAAATTTGGAGAGACTTATTCAATGCTATTATAAATTAGAAGATTTCGTTCAGCTAGCGGCAACTGTGGACCAACTACCGGATAAGAGTCCCATCTTGAAGACCGTAGCGAGAATGCTGGCTTCGGTGGGAATGTGTCCACAGGCTGTGGCAGCTTACATTAAATACGGCGACGTAAAGCTGGCCGTAGATATATGCGTGCGTCTGAATCACTGGGACCAAGCTGTCGATCTGGCGAAAACTTACAAGATGGCACAGATCGGCGAGTTGTTGAGTAAATACGCCAATCATTTATTATCGAACGGTAAGCATCTGCAGGCAATCGAGTTGTACAAGAAGGCCAACTACAACTTGGAAGCAGCTAAATTATTGTTTCATCTTGCCGAGGAGCAAGCTAAGTCCAAGTCGCATCCTCTGCGCGTGAAAAAGATATACGTTCTCGCGGCCTTGCTGATTGAGGACCACATCAATAGCGTTCCTGCAATAAAAGGTGGTCGCAGCAACGTTGTCATGGGTCTTACTGAAAGCAACGAGGACACCAAGATTATAGAAAACGCCTGGCGAGGCGCCGAGGCATATCACTTTCTTCTGCTCGCGCATAGACAGTTGTACGATGGCAGTTTTGATGCCGCGATGAAGACTGCTCTGCGACTAAGAGACTATGAGGATATATTGGAAGTAGAAGACATCTACTGTTTATTGGCGCTATCAAGCGCTGTTAATCACGCATTTGCTACCTGTTCAAAGGCTTTTATAAAATTGGAAGGGCTCGAGACGATCTCGGAGGCGAAGAAAGAGGAATATGAGGAACTGGCAGTGGATATCTTCACGAAGCATACTCCGAAGGATTCCCGTAACAACAAGGCGGAATGCGTCAACTGCGAAACTCTGGTACCTGACTGGTGCACCGCGTGCCCGAATTGCTCGACCAGATTCCCCGCTTGTATCGTCTCGGGCAAACCGCTGATGGATCTCAGCATCGCATGGATCTGCACTGTTTGCCGACATCATGTCGCAACCGAACGCGATGTTGTTAACATAAATGCCTGCCCTTTGTGTCACAGTACCATCACGTACATGTAGGCTAAAATATGTAGGAATAATTTAGCAATCTGTTGAATTTTTATTTGCTAAAATTTTACGATAAATGGTAAGCCTTTATATTTTGATAACTGTGCAATGAGAATGAATAAGGGCATTTCAGTTTTAGCTCACGATTTCGCGCAAAAAACGTAAAGTCAACAATAAAATTGTAATACTTGTTGGTTTCCACGATCCATATATGAGTCAAATGTGAATTAATTAGAAGATAATTTAATAAGAATTAAAAATAGATAAAATGTTGATATTCTCGTGCCTTAATATTGAATAATTAATACGGGGACACTAACAAGAATGATCAGTGCAATTGTTAAAAGTGTGCAAGTTTTTCCTTTATGCACACTGATATATTTTTTACAATCTCATGTATAAATGGGATTTTCATCCGCTTTTAACGATGATATTCATTTTATATTTTTTTTTTTTTATTAGAATGAATCGTACTTGATATCACATGCCAGATCATGAAT